GGCATCGGCAAAGGTGCAATGAGCACGTCTCTATATACGCTCTTTCCTATCAGGGCTTACGCAAATTAGGGACCCCAAATGTTGAACCCCCAAAATAGCAGGATTCCCTTATAATGAGGCCCCCCCCGTAAGGTACCCTAATTCCGTGAACCCCCATAGAGAAAAAGAAGCGCTGCTCAACTGGATTTTGAGTAAATAAGAGTCCGTACCCCAAGAACCCGAAACTTTACAGCTTCTCGATTGCCTGCGCCAGAGGTTGCTGCCCTAAACCCTAAACCCTAAACCCTGAAACGCTGGGATTGTCCTTAATGGGACTTGAAGGGGCAAATCCACGGGTTTAGGGTTTAGAGTTTACACAATAAACCCTAAGGCCCCTGAACGCCTGAAACCCTCAAACCAACCCCACAATCTGGAATCTGGACTCATTTCCTCGACTGTTCTTTGAACCCCGTTGACGACTTTTGGTGGCCTCTTATACGCAGGGCCCTGGACCCTAAACCTCAGAAACACCTTCGCAAGGACTTAGGTCTTTTGGGTTTAGGTTCAGGGTCTGGGATTTTGGTTTTAGGCTGGTTGGGGGGTATTGTCTCCTGCATGCGTGGAGGGGGGGGGGGGGGGGGGGGCATCTGAATTATGAGCCCTTCCAAGCTAGTGTAGAGACCCCAAAAAAGAAATCAGAACATACATAAGGTCCATGCCATGCAGATGTTCAAGAGAGACGCAGAAGCGTACGCAGACAGAGCGGGAAGGGAGAGAGAGAGAGAGAGAAAGAGAGAGGGAGTGATTGGGAGAGAAGGGGAAGAGGGAGGGACGGAGGGAAAGAGCGAGAGAGAAGAGAGTTGGAACCCTAAACCCTAAGCCATAGACCCTAAACTTTAGACCCCTAAAACCCCTGAACCCCTAAACCCTAAACCCCTGATCTTAAACCCTAAACCCCTAAACCCTAAACCTTTAAACCTTAAGATGCTAAGGTCTTGACTCTGGAATGCTGCCGATGAAGGCCTGTCAGGACTTGCAAGGCATGGCTTCCCAAAGCTTGAAGATCTAAGGCTTATTGACCGCGTGCTGCTGGGGAGTCACCCTAAACCCTGACACAGCAAACCCTAAACCCTAAACCCTAAACCCTAAACCCTAAACCTTAGAAGCCCCTAAACCCTAAACCCTAAAAACCCTCCTCAGAGAGGGCTCCTGAAGATAGCGGGTCGCTTCGGGGGCCTCTCGGCTGCTGTATTTGGGGTCGCAAGAGCTTCGGGGTTTGGGTTTAGGGTTTAGGGTTTAGAGTTCAGGGTTTAGGGTTTAGGGTTTATGTGTGTTGTGTGTGTGTACAAAACCCTGTTGGACCAAGGCGTTTTTGAATTCATTTAAGACGTACGCAGGGGGCCGCTCCACCCACTGTTAGGGGGCGGCCCACGAAGAGCCTAACAGTGTGGTGCTGGAAACGTACCTGCAAATTCGAGCGTGCTTGGGCTTGGCAGAGCAGCTGGCAGCTCATGAAACTGGGAGTGTGCTTGGGCTTAGCATAGCAGCTGGCAGCTCCACCATTGACGATATTTCTCCCTTCCCCTACATGTGTAGGGAGATCCCGAAGTGTGTTGTTGGTTTTCGCCTTTGGTGGTAGGTACTTCAAGCTTGCTGGGTCACGCACACCCATACACACACACATACTTGTTCTTTCTTGCTCTCTCTTTATATATTTATATTGATTTTTATATCTATATTTATATTCTTTACATAATATGTGTATATATATACATTGACATACATATATCCATATTTTGGATATATGTATGTAAAGAACACGTAAATAGGTACATATATGTATGTATATATATATATATATGTATTATTACCCCTTCGCGCATCCCACATGTTGCCCTATAGTATGAACTAGACAAACGCAAAGTCGGTGAAATCGCTTCCAACAGTTCAAGGCTCTGAATTACAAAATTCCAAATTCCCATATTCCCCAAAACCACACAATTCCTATACCAACTCTTCCAAAAATTCCCAAAGGATTGCTTTTCGGAATTTCAGGCCGAAAGCTTCTGGAGCTTTGGAACCGAACTTGTGGAACTTTGGTGGGGTCTTATGGTTTTTGCAACCCTAAACCCTAAACCCTAAGCCCTAAACCCTAAACCCTAAACCCTGCGTGAGGCTTGTGCAACTTGAAAGCAATTGTGTCCTTGTGCTTGTGGGCATCTAATGCTGTTGCCCGGCGCAAGGACAACTTATGAATAAACAGGGCGCCCTTGTTGGTATAAAGGGGTTCATAAGGGAACCCAAAACCTTAAAAAAAGGGAATAAGGGCCTACTCTGGGTCCTAGAAATGCGTTTTTAAGGACCTTGGGACTGGCGAGCTTCTGGCTTTGGACTGATGAGCCTTCAAACCGCTTCCTTTATGAGTTTAGAGCCTCTGTTTTCTCTACGCTTGTGGCAGTAAACCCTTATGCTGTATGGACATGTCGCTGTTCTCCAAGAATAGTCTAGCTCAGTCTGTGAAACAATCTCCAGGCACCCTGACATGTCCCCTGAAGTCAAAAAGCACGAAAAACACACATGCGGCTGGCCGCTGCCGGTATCGGTATATGTTGGGATGTTCCCCCTTATACTAACAGCCCTTAATAGGGATTGCCGTACACCCTATTCTAATCCCTATTAAGGACTGAGAGTATAAGGGTGAACATCCCAAGGTATATGTGTGGATGCGAATATACATATTCAGATGCTGCAGCTTCTATGTGTAGGGCGCATCGAACTGAAAGCCCCTGTGGACAGTCACACAACCCTTTGGAGAAACGCAGCTCAAAAGGTCGAAACTTCTACAAACGTCAATCCTACACCGGTTTAGGGTTTAGGGTTTGGGGTTGAGAGTCTTAAAGCAATGACCCTCCACCATTCACCCCTCAAACAACGCCGCCCCGACCTTTCTTGAGGCGCAGAAGCTGACCGCTGAGCATCAGCTCGTCCTGACCCAGGCTCCCAATAGTTTAGGGTTTAGGGTTTAGGGTTTAGGGTTTAGGGTTTAGGGTTTTGGAACTGAGGGTTTGCTTGGTTTAGGGGCTTATTGGACGCTGGTCCAAACCTAACACAACAAAGAACGAGATCTCATGCTTGCAGCAGGATTGATATTTGCGCTATAAGGACTTTATGTTCCGGCACCCCACGCCCTAAACCCTCACAAGTGTCTCTACACAGCAAGGCCGGTTTTACCTTAGCAAAAGATGGGAGAACCTCAGCCCTAAACCCTAAACCCTAAACCCTAAACCCTAAACCCTAAACCCTAAACCCTAAACCCTACCAAGTGCAAGGCCTCGAGCTGCAACCTCCAACCTTCAGAGACTCCTAGGATGGCCCCGGGGGTTTACGAAAATAGAGGACCCCTAAAATAAACCCCCCAAAGTAGGACACTTCTACGGGTTTGTTCGATAATGGGGGCTGGCGACAGGTGTTGGCATCAGGGTCTGGGTATGTTTCGGGGTATGCTTCGGGGGTATGCTTCGGGGGTATGCTTCGGGTTTGTTTCGCGGCATCATGAGCCACTTTACAGGCAATTTCGGGGGTATGTTATGTTTCGGGGTATGCTTTGGGGGTATGCTTCGGGGTCTGTTTCGGGGTACCCAAAATGGACAAGCAAATACCAGGCACCCCAATGAGGTACCCCCAATATCCTGATCCCAAACATGGATTTAGGGTTCAGGGTTTCAGGGCTTAGGTTTTAGGGCTTAGGCTTTAGGGGAAATTGTGAACTGTCCCCAGTGCCTGCCTAGGAATGTGGAGGACGCACGTGCAGGGTTTTCAAGGCTGTGGGGGCTAGTGCTTAGGGGGGACAATTTTGCCAGAGTCTGGGGTTTAGGATTTAGGTTCCCGAAACCCTAACCCCTAGGCCATATACACCCCAAACACTAAAGCCTGAGGACTAAACCCTGAACCCTCAGCCCTACTGTACACACCCTTCAACCCTAAACCGCTGCAACAACTGACTGGCGCCTCACGGAGTCGCATGGCGTTCTCAAAGCCTTGCGCATCTCGGAAATGAACGAAGCCTGATGCATGGGGCGTAACCCACACCCGGTTTAGGGCTTAGGGTTTAGGGCTTGGGGTTTAGGGTTTAGGGCTAAACCCTACACCCTAAATCCTAGACCCTAAGTTTCTAATCCCTAAACTGCAAGAGCAACCCGAAACCCCAAAAAACCTAAAGCCCCTAAGCCCCTTAGGCCCCAGAGCCAAACTCCTAAGCGCTAAGCCGCAAACCCTGAACCCCAATTCAGGGTTTAGGCTTTAGGGTTTAGGCCTTAGGGCTTCGGATCCCTTTAAACCCTAAATCTCAAAACCTAGCAAGACTTGGCTTGCCGTGTTCTTCTGCAAAGGGCGTGTGACAAAGCTAAACGTTGCCAAAATGAGCCTCACGTGTGTCAACCCGGGTTTAGCATTTAGGGTGAGGGGTTTAGGGTCGAGATTTTAGGGCTCTTGAGCTTTTGGAGGGTTTAGGGTTAGGTGTATTGGAGTTTAAGGGTAGTAGAAAAGAATGATCTAATTCCTTCATATCCTCGTCCTATTACCTCGATTACCACCTCCATTATCATGAAAACTACCTCTTTGTCCTAATTGTCGACAACGACCTCTTTGTTAAAAAGCCCGACGCCCCAAACTCTGAAGGGCCTAGGGTTTAGGGCTTCTTCAGGGCGTTAAGGAGTTTTTGAGAGCCTTTCTCCTACGGCCCGCAATTCGAACCCTGCGTAGCCACATTTTCCGATGTTTCTTAGTTAAGGTCTACTCGCATGTTTCATGTGAAGGATCCTTTGATAGTTTAGAGGTTAGGGTTTAGGGTTTGGGGAAAGTCCAGGAACCAAGGGGATGTTGAAGATCGTAGCAAACCTGAAACGCGGTACCTAGTCTTGGGGTGGGCATGTTTAAAGCAGTTCAAACATGTGGGTTGGCTTCTTTTGAGGTTCATGGGTAGGTCTAAGTTATACGTACACCTACCTCTCTTCTAGCCCTACTTAGAAGTACCCACAACTGTGAACTCGAGGGTACAGAGCCTGGGTGCCAGCAAATGACCATACCTTGCGCATGCGACACAGCATGTTGCCTGCGCAGTGCGCTGGTAGGTCTGGGCCCTTGATCCCGCCTGATGTCTGAGTGTCAGCCAACCGGGAATTGCTGCTCATTCCCTCAGTCCGATGAAACCAGGACCTCTTTCCGAGCAGGAGGGCGTACAGTGTCGCTCCGGACACCAAGAGTGAGGTTCCTCAGCCTGGCCCGGGGACGACTTTGACACTGCCGAGGCTCCTGAGTCCTGAGAGAGGCACCCAAATGGTGATGCCATGCCCATGGCCTCACAGTAGCCCCTCTGCACTCGAAGCTGGGTCAGCACTGAGATGGGCGTGTAGATCCCCTCATTTTCAGAGGATCCTAGTATTTGGGGGTCTATCTTGGGGGTCCCCTAAACCCTAAACCCTAAACCCTAAACCCTAAACCCTAAACCCTAAACCCTAAACCCTAAACCCTAAACCCTAAACCCTAAACCCTAAACCCTAACCCCCACTTCGGGCAGGCTGCCGTAGACGTACTGCTCGCTCGACTTCCGTGGGGCGATGAAGACCTGGAGGGACGTAGCTGTGCGAGGCATGGGTTTAGGGTTTAGGATTTAGGACTAGGGTTTAGGGTTTAGGGTTTAGGGTTTAGGGTTTAGGGTTTAGGGTTCCTATGGTAAAACCTACTCCGACATCGCTCAACCTCAAGTCACTCAAAAACCCAAACTCTCCTAGAAACCGTCCGTAAAGTCAAGGGAACCATCTAACCCTTGCTCATGATCTAGACGAGGAGCCTAGGAATGAAACAGGGCGCTCTCTTTGGTTCAAAGGGGCTTATCAGGGCCAACAAAAGTGAATAAGAAACCTACTCTGGATCCTAGTGATTGTATCGAAGACCTATTGTAACTCCCCTATGTCCCCAGCACGAACCAAGAAGAAACATTTCTCTCTCTGCACGGCCCCCCCTCCCCCAAAAAAACAAAAAAACATAAAAAGAAGAGGTGATTCTAGAGTCACTGGTTTCATGTAGGTTCAGAGTCACGGTGAAGAACTTCAAGCCCAGGGTTTGGGCTTTAGGCTTTAGGCTTTAGGCTTGAGGCTTAAGGCTTAAGGCTTAAGGCTTGAGGCTTGAGGCTTGAGGCTTTAGGCTTTAGGCTTTAGGCTTTAGGCTTTAGGCTTTAGGCTTAAGGCTTTAGGCTTTAGGCTTTAGGCTTCACGCTTTAGGCTTTAGGCTTTAGGCTTCAGGCTTTGGGGTTTAGGGTTTAGGCTTGAAGCCATGTAAACGCGAACTGCGGATGTGCAAAATCGGCCCTGGCCTCGTCGATCTTGCCGCATTTTGAGAACTTTTCCCGGATCTCCTCAACCCGAGTCCCTAAAAAAAAACCCTAAAGCCCAAAAACCCCGGATTCCAAAAAGAAGGAAATGGTTCTCAAAACCCTCACCACCGTGAAAAATCCAAATGTCGAAGACGTAAAACCCCTAGGTTTAGGGTTTAGGGTTTTGGCTTTAGGGCTTGGGGTGTAGGCGGCCAGGCGGGGGGGAGGGGGGGGAATGAGGGTGAGGGGTTTAGAGTTTAAGGCCAACGGTTTTAGGAGGTATGGTCTAGTCTACAGGCGTGAGGGGTTTAGGGTGTATGGTCTCGAAGGCTGCGTGCCGCGTCCTCAAGAAAAGAGGAATTCCCCTAAACCCTAAACCTTAAACCCGAAACCCTAAACCCTAAACCCCAAACCCCAGGCCCTTCTCTGGGGGTTTTCAGGCTTCGTCTTGTGGCAACCTTGCGCCTTACAAGAAGGGTTTAGGGTTTAGGGTTTAGGGCTAAGAATTTCTTCGCGACCCTAAACCCTTAACCCTAAATCACGACTGGGATCCTTAATCAAAAACTGAAAGCACTTCCAGGATAGTGGAAGATGTTGGCTGAAGGACATCAAGGCCGGAGTAGGTTTTAGGGTTTAGGGTGTAGGGTTTGCTTGCAGCCTTCCCTTACGCACGGGTTTGGGGCTTCGGGTTTCGGGCTTAGGGTTGCCCCAAAAGTCTGATATCGCGTGGGCATTGAGCAAAACGCCTAGAGCTTCAGGCCTATCACTATTACCATTTCCATTGCAACTACCATTACTATTACTGTTACTACTACTATTACTATTACTATTTTATTCCTATTACGATTACTATTACAATTGCTAAACACTCAAACTAAACAAATTCCCTCAGGGTGGTTCTTCTGGTTTGTCCAGTTGGGGTCTGGAAGATGAGTGCTGTGGTAGAATGCGAAGGGTTCAGGGCTTAGGGTCTTGCTAGCCCAGTAATCGTTTTCTAGTAAGGGCACCCTTTTGGGTTGGCTACTTTATAAGGGAACCCATACCCAAAAAAAATGAACCCTAAACCCTAAACCCTAAACCCTGCACCAGTGGGCTACCCAAAGGTCAACGGCTTGCTTTGCACGGCGGTGTCCTCGGTTGTGACATCGGTTGGCAGAGAACCGACCTTAGGCAACGAGTCACCCAGGTCTATGATTGGCTTATAAGAACGCCCCCCCCCCCCCAATAGAAAATCGTCTTCCTTCTAGTTAAGGGCAAGATTGGGATTACTATTTTTTATGGTTATTTTGAGGTCTTAAGCAACTAGCAGAGGAATGAAGAGGGCACCTTTCGGTTGGTTCAAATGGAAATTAACGGAGCCCAACAGGCTAGGGTTCAAGGTTTCCCGAAGGGTCCATGTACTTTAAGTAGACGTCTAGGCCCTAAAGCTACTAAATGGTAACCCCTTTTTAAGGCCCAAGTGCATACTACACAGGTACATGGACCCTTAGGGTTTGGGGTTTAGGGCTTGGGAATTTACTAGATGAAACGCTCATTACGAAGCAGGGCACCTTTCCTGACCAAGTGGTACTGTGGGATTACAGGCGAACCTAGCCCAAACAAAAAAAGAAGAATAAGGGGCCTGGGTAGCAGCTAAGTAGAAGCCCTAAACCCTAACTTCTAAACCCTATAAGCCCTCAGCCCTCAACCCTTGCTTCTAAAACCATGTAGACCCTACAGGGTTTAGGGTTTAGGGTTTAGGGTTTAGGGTTTAGGGTTTAGGGTTCAAGGTTCAGGGTTTAGGGTTAGAACCTAATACTCCACTCTCAGGTGCGGCTAGACCATGATCCTGCCCCCAAAAACCTAAACGTTACGTTCCTAAGCCCTAACAGGCTCCGCCTTATGTAAAACCCTGAACCCTAAACCGTAAGCTCAAGGGAAGGGAAGGGGGGCGGGGGGAGCAGGAGGAGGAAACCTTAAAGCCCCGAAACCCCAAAACCCAAAACCCCATGCCCTAAAACCAACCCACAACCACACCACGCAAGGAAACCTAAACCCTGAACCCTGAACCCTAAACCCTAAACCCTAACCCCCAAGACCATTGATAAACGCGGGCGGGGGTTGATCCATGGAGGTGACCACAGACCTGGGTAGCCCAGTAACCATCTATTAATCAGGGCACCCTTTTTGGGTTTTAGGGCTTTTTTGGGTTTTAGGGCTTAGGGTAAACTTTATAAGGGAGCCTTGAAAGAAACAAAAAAAGGGGAAAAGGGGTACCATTGAGCTACCAAGATATGGCTTGAGGATTTTAATGCTGCTTCAAATCTTATCTGGAACCCATATGTGCAGCTTGTTAAAGCGACTTGAGGCTCCAGACTTAGGGTTTAGGGTTTAGGCTTTAGGGTTTAGGGTTTAGGGTTTAGGGTTTAGGACAGCAGGGGGATTCTAGGAACTAGGCTCGGCATTGGGTCACGTCGCATGTAGGTTTTCAGGCCTTAGGGTGTAGTGTAGGGCTTAGGGTCCGCCTAAACAAACCCTAACCCGTAAACCGCCGGGTAGAAGGACTACAATGTAGGTGGTCCGCCGCACACATCAAACGGAGCTTGACAATGGTTTCGAAGATGACGTCTGGCCACCGTTGCGTATCCATAGAGCCGTGCCGCGCCTTGCGGCTCCGCCAATTCTCCCGCAGAGTTGCCTTGAGTCGAGCAAACACATGCGTGTCGCGCGGCTGAAGGAACCGGGTCATGCGGGCCGGAATGTAGGGCAGTCGTAACCCAAGCTTGTGCGCAAGCATGTAGAATGTAGTGTCTATGTGGTACGGGGCGCAGTCCAAGATCAGGATGACATAGCACTTCGGAAGCAGGTGGCCCAAGCACTTTGCCAGCAGACGAATGAAACGTGACGGAAGCACCTGAAACCTTACACCCTGAACAGTTTAGGGTTTAGGGTTGAGGGTTTCGGGTTTAGGGCTTAGGTTTCCGGTTTAGGGTTTAGGGTTGCCCAACCCTTCATCGTGCAGCAAGCATGTACCGAGCGAGCCGCCCAAAGCGATTTTTGCTCTTCACTCATGGCACCAGAAGGTGAGAAGGGAAGTATTACCTTAAACTACTAATAACTTAAGAGAAACTCCATAGTTTGTTTGTCCTTTTGGGGTTCTTAAGCAAATAGTAGCAAATCTCCCTAACCAAAACAGCTTCCGAGTGCTGAGTTGAGGTGACGATCTTGGCAGATTCGAAAACCCCCAAAGTCCTGCAAGCCCTAATTCCTAAAGCCTAAACCCTAAACCCCAAACCCTAAGCCCTAAAACCTGAACCCGGGATGGGCTTCTCAAGGCTACATGAGGACCCCAAATGGGATGGCAGTCTGAAATTGGGAGAAGGTCGGAACTCAAAGCTTTAACACCCCAAGCCCTAAAACCTAAACGCCAAGTATATGGGGACCCGAATTCATAGGGGCGGGCTCTCATTCTTAACAAAAACCAAGACCCTTGAAAAGAAAAGGCCCTGATGGCGAGGCGCGAGCGCGAGTGGCAAAGAATGGCAACGCAGTACTGTGGCACGTTTCACGGGTTCCCCTACTACCTACCCTCTTTAGGTTTCCCCCCCTTATATTTGCCCTTAATTACGCTTCAGCCCTAAACAAAATCCCTAAACCCGAAACCCTAAACTCTAAACCCGCAAGCCAACTAGCCAACTCCGTTTAGGGTTAAGGGCTTTTGGGGGTCTGGGGCGTCTGAAACCACGGAGTCCAGAAGACTTACGGGGTTTAGGGTTTAGGGTTTAGGGTTTAGGGTTTAGGGTTTAGGGTTTAGGGTTTAGGGGAAGCCCAAGACCCGAAACACAATACTTTAGGGTTTGGGGTCTAGGGCTAGGGTCTCCCAGCCCATCGAGCTGTTAACAGGCCATGAACCAAGGCCTGGTTTCCACCGTACAGTAACCTGTAACCTCTTTCAAGGGACCCCACACCCCAAGCTTCCCCAGGGTTTCGGGTTTGGGGTTTAGGGTTTGGGGTCCAGGGCTAAAGGAGGGACCCTTTTCAGGGACCTTAGGGGTTATTCAGGGGTTATTGATGGGGCTACTTAGGTATATAGGAACTAGATAAGGTATGTGTAGGGGTTTTTTCGTGGAATAAGATTAAGGGTCCCTTCTTGGGGTCCTTCCTTCTTACCCCTTCACTATGGGACCACACTTGTTTGGGTTGTTTACTTTACAGAGTTTAAGGTTTAGGGTTTAGGGTTTAGGGTTTAGGGTTTGGGGGTTTAGAGAACCTTGAAACAAAACAAGGGAAAACAGCATCACTGGGCTGCCGAGAAGAAAAAGAAGAGGAAGCAACCCATCCTTTGCTTCGTGGTGGTTTACAAGACCTTCGTAAAGAGGAAAAAGGGCAACGAATGGGAATCCCAGCCCATTTGCCTAAACCCGGACTACACCCATCACCCTAAGCCCGAAACCCTAAACCCTAAACCCTAAACCCTAAACCCTAAACCCTAAACCCTAAACCCTAAACCCTAAACCCTAAACCCTGTCACGTCGCATGGCTTTTTGCCATCCACGCTCGTGCGCGGCTGCACCGTAGGGTAGTTACATGGTCCCGTAGTATGGGCTCTTAAAAGGGTATCCCCGTATATACCCCCCTTACATACCCTGTACAAATTAAGGGTTTTAGGGTTTAGGGTTTAGGGACACCCCTTATATACCCTATACAAATTAGGGGCCATACATCAGAACCCTTAAAAGGAGGTTAGGGACCATATTCAGGGCCCATGTAACTACCCTTTTTACCTACGTCTCAAGCCAGGCCTAGGGCTTTCCTTCAGGCTCTCCGGGCTCATCTTGTAAGGTTTTTGTGAACTCTAAACCCTAAACCCTAAACCCTAAACCCTAAACCCTAAACCCTAAACCCCAGTTATAAGGTTCTTGGGGCTACGTTGCGCCTAAGGGGAAGAGGTTTGGTTCATCCTCGCGCTTAAGTTTCTTGCCCTTGTGAAACATAAGTCTAGGATGGCCCTCCGGAAAAACACTTTGCTTTGGAGCAGACCCTGCAAAAAAGTATATACTTTTTAGGTAGAAGTAGCGATAATAGGAACCCAGAACCAAAACAAGTATTAGAGTAGAGTACTCCAAGACCCAGAACATCCTAAGTATGATCCTATTGAGCCCAACTTTCGGGGAAATGCAAAACATCCCACAAGGGCACCCTGAAACACGAAACCCCAAATCCTGAATCCGATGAGGGAAGATAAAAAATGCCAAACCCTAAACCCTAAACCCTAAACCCTAAACCCTAAACCCTAGGGCCCTACCCAGTCATGCTTTCAGTGTAGTTTTGGTCTCGCCCCAAACCTCTTCTTCCCCGAACGAGCTCCGATAAAAGACAAGGGCTGCTTAGCAAATAGAGCTTCGGGTTTAGGGTTTAGGGTTTAGGGTTTAGGGGGGTTTAGGTTGAGGGTTTAGTGCCCCTACATCCCTAGATGTAGCACTATTCTACATCAGGAAGCTCATGTATACATACTTACATATATATATATATACATAAATATATATATATATATATATATATAAGACTGTGATAGGGTGGGGCCTGTATCCAAGATTTAGGTTCTCGGCGCTACCGTTCGATACGCTCCCTCTTGAAGTCCGGGATTGTTCGACGAATTCGCTACTCGCCGCCGTCTGCTTTGTCGACTTCTTCTTTGTCGTCGACTTCTTCTTCATCGAACTCGTCATCCTCATCATACCTTGGTTTAGGCTTTAGGGCTTAGGGTTTGGGGTTTGGGGTTTGGGGTTTAGGGTTTAGGGTTTGAGGTTTAGGGTTTAGGGTTTAGGGTTTAGGGTTTAGGGGTTAGGCAAGGCAACCCCTGCCATGAGAATATTCACTTTGTAGATACATGGGGGGGGGGGGGGGGCTTCCGAAAGTAGGGGTCCCTCTTGTATGCCCCAGAAGACTATATGATCCTTTTATAAAGGAACCGCCCTCTTCTAATTCTACCCCAGAAGACTATAATGATCCCTTAAAAGGAACCGCCTACAGGGGGCAGCCCTGTTTGCGGGAACCTCCACATGGGTGTTGCTTGCTGTGGGTTACTGCACTGGAATAATAAACCCTGAACCCTGAACCCTGAACCCTGAACCCTAAACCCTAAACCCTAAACCCTAAACCCTAAACCCTAAACCCTAAACCCCCAACCCCAACATCAATCCAGGGTACCCCTCATCCTCCACCTGCAAAGACTGGTCCAGGGCCAGGTCCTTCTCGTCAGAGGGGGGCCCGCCTTCGCAGCACAATTTCAGGGTTTAGGGTTAGAACCCCTGAACCCTAAACCCTAAACCCCAAACCCCAAACCCCAAACCCTAAACCCTAAACCCTAAACCCTAAACCCTAAACCCTATGCTGCCAATTTTTTGGCCCGGTAGGCCCCTCTCGAATTCACCGTTCTGGGAGCCGAGAACCACACAATGAAAGGACTCGGGCCTTCGTACATTTGAAAACTTTAGGTCTGGGCAGGGTCCAGGATCTGGGACGTAGGGTTTAGTGTTTAGGGTTTCGGGTTTCGGGCTTAGGGTGTAGGGTTTAGGGCAGAGGCCCCGTAAATGTACACTTCAGCGGGGGAAGAAGTGGCACCAGGGGTTTGGGGCTGAGTGTCCGGCATGTTCTTTCGTACATGCTCTTTTGATAACAAAAGTTCAGTGGGCGATTTAGAGTTAGGGTGTAGGGTTTGCATCAGCCTGCTACGACATGGGGAAGCGAAAGCAAAGGGTTCAGGGTTTCGGGTGTGCAGAGATGGGGTTTGGGATTTCGAGCTTAGGGTTTAGGGTTTGGCGCCCAGCGCACTGGGTGGCCCACCGTTGGCCAACTTGGACGTGACCTCAGGCTATTCGGTGTAGGGTTTAGGGATTAGAGTTTAGGGATTTAAGGGTCTGGGTAGCCCATTAACCCTACTCCAATAAGGGCACCCTTTTTTTGGGGGGTTGGTTACTTTAGAAGGAAACCTTGAACCAAAACAAGGAGTGAACGGTACCACTGGGCTACCAAGAGAGTTTAGGGATTTGGGTTTTTTTCGGGCTTGGGGGTCGTTTGGGTGGCCCTAAACCCTAAACCCTAAACCCTAAACCCTGAACCCTGAACCCTACAACCCTAAAACCCAAAACCCTAAACGCTAAACCCTAAACCCTAAACCCTAAACCCTATACCCTAAGCCCTAAACTCTGCATGAGAGGTGTAGGTGTTGAGGCTTCACTGGCTGAGTCTATCCAGGACAGAAGACCAACCCGCGAGTTGAGGTTGGGTTTAGGCACACAGAAAGGGTTTAGGGTTTAGGGTTTAGGGTTTAGGGTTTAGAGTTGAGGGTGTAGGGTTTAGCGTTTAGGGTTTAGTGTAGGCTAGCTCGGGCGCTCGGGTGGAACTTCAGTCTAGGTAGTAGAGTTGCGTGCATTTTAGGGTTTTTGGGCTTGCAGCAGTGAAAGGTTTAGGGTATAAGCTTTAAGGTTTGTAGCGGTTCGGCTGTAAGGTTTAGGGGGTACAGTGCTTTGGGGTCTAGGGCTATACCGCTTGAACCTTAAAATCTGACTCCTGAAGTGCTATACGCTCTAAGCCTTAAACCCTAAAACCTTTACGGATGCCCAAGCCCGAAATGGGAACCCTGAACCCTAAACCCACAGCCCGTGAGTGCTAAACCCCACCCAACCTCTCAACCCTAGACGAATGGTTCTGCACTGGCACCTTCGGGGTGTTTAGGGTTTAGGGTTTAGGGTTTTGCGGCTCAGCGTTTAGGGTGTTCGGGGTTTAGGATTTAGGGTTAGGCTTCAGTTCCAGTTGGGGCTTTCTCGGTGAGGCGCTTTCTGAGGCAACTTGTCGGGAACCATCTTCGACAGATGTTTAAGGTTTAGGGTTTAGGGTTTGGGTCTTAGAGGGCTCCTTGGCATGAACATAAACACTAAGAAGACACAATTCCTAAAGGAACAACTCTAGTGTTTGGGTTGCTGTTACGGAAGACGAGTCCCGTTTCGGGTTGGGGGGCGGGTATCGAGGGTGAGGGGGTTCAGGTTTGGGGGTGTTGAGGAAGTGAAAGC